ACCCCCCCACCCCACCCTGAATTCAAGAGAACGCATCAACTGTCCACGCGCGCGATTGTTCACATTGCCCCCTAGTTTGGGAATAGAAGTTTCTGAGCATGAGGAACAGTAGTTTCTGAATACGACGAAAATAGTTTCTGAATACGACGAAAATAGTTTCTGAATACGACGACAATAGTTTCTGAATACGACGAAATAGTTTCTGAATACGACGAAATAGTTTCTGAATACGACGAAAAGAGTTTCTGAATACGACGAAATAGTTTCTGAATACAAGAGTTTCTGAATACAACGAAATAGTTTCCGAATACAACGAAAGAGTTTCTGAAGACTAGTTTCTGAATACAGTGCAGTTTCTGAATCCGACTTTGTTCGCCCCCAAAGGCTGCGTGCGAGCTCGATCTGGGTCACGCGAGAAGGGGGGTAGGCAGGTGAATGGAGTAGAAACAGGTCCCAGGCTTCAAAGCGCGCACCCTCCAACAAGTCACCGATTGAGACTGGCTTGCTCAAGGGCATGATCAACGCACAAACACACAACACCATCATCCTGTGATGACTGGGACTCAATGTCTTGCTTGCCCCTTTCTTCTGTGTCTCGAAGTCCTCAATGCTGCTTAAAGATGGCAATCTGCTCCTGACCCATATCGAATTTGGGAAGAGTAGCAAGTGTCGCAGTTTGCACCTTCTTGTTCTGCATCCTTTCCTGCTTGAACCCCGCCATAGGATTTTGAGAAGCTTGCCTTTCGGTCCATGGCCTTCAGGCCATCTGCCATGTCTGCAGTGTCTATAAGAATGAGAGTGTGTTGTCCGATCGACTAGCTGCCATCTTGGCACTTGGGACACTCATGGAAGCTCTGCAAAGAGGTTGCCCATTGTCGACTGTCTTTCAGCAGTACATTGCAAAACTTCTTGGGATAGACCGCGGCCAACATGGCGCCACTACTTCCTCGAACCTGCCCCTGCAGCCATCCATGCGGCCCTGCGTGTCCTTGACATCTTGTGGCGCAATGATGTAGCTGAGCATTGCTGAGCAGCCCCGTGGGTTGCAGTCGGTGTTCTTCATCCTCTGCGCCGAACTGACACTGATCTGTCCTCTGTGGACATCCTGGCGTGTCTTGTAGATCACGTCACAATACAGAGGCGGCCTCTTGACCTTGCGCTGTTCGACCGCGCTTTTTTGCAGAACTCGACACATGAAGGTCCTCTTGTCGACATCTGGTTGGAGACTGACCATGAGTCTGCAATTCCGAGAGGTTATCATTCACGTACAATCATCCTGGGATAGATAGAATATGAACCTATCCAACAGCATGACCAGTTTCCTATTGGTTGTGGATTTTCCCATATTCTACCTAGTCCAGGATTTTTTCTCCTCGAAGCAGTTTCTGATGAGGCCGATGCCCAATATCCCAGCCATAGCGCAGCATGTCCAGAGAGGAATGCAAGAAGTATCAATCTCACGCTCCCACTCCACCATTAGCAAAGTTGCGTCTTCTGTTGTTGTCTTCTCTTCGTCATCCGGAACATCCATGGTGTGATGGGAGCTACCTTCAGATAAGTGTAGAACTCCTTGGGGAAGGCTGCGCATCCTCTTGTGGCTCCAGGGCCCGTCTGGCGTCCACAAGTTATCTCGGCCTGGAATTGCGTTTTCCTCACTTGGTGAGATGCGACTGGAAACATGATCACTTTTACTTTTACCTTCTTGGAAATCTTCTTCGTTGAACCATTGTGTTCAGAGAGGTCAAAGTATCGGCGGGGTAGGTCTTGTCGTTGTCTTCTCCGAGAAGTTGCTGAGACTGCCGAACTCGGTGGTGGTGCCAGTCCATTTCTCGCGCCTCACGCAGAGGTTGTTGAGCAAGAAGAGCGTGATTCGTCCACATGCAGTGCGGTGGTTGTTCTTCTTTAAGACAGGCTGTTCAAGTCTGAAGAAATGTTGCCAGCCACTGGCAGCCACTGGAGAAAACAGTAATGGTTCAAGGTCACACGTGATGTCGCATTCAGTCAGATGTTGATTTCGCCAGAAACGCCGCCTGTCACCCATGCGATTCCAGTCCTTGAGGCTTGACGCAATGCTCCATGATGTCGCGCAACGTCTCCAGGCTTGGCGCCGGTCTTGGATCAACTAGAAGACCTGTTCTCTTAATTTTCTTGGATCATGTGAAAGGTCTCCATGGCTTCATTGTTCTTGCAAGCGCGTGAACACGGGAAAGTTGAGAACGTTGGTGTTGGATCCAGAGGAGCACTCCTTCTTCACTGCGCCGAAGACGTTGCGTCTGCGAGGTCGCGCGTCCTTTGCCTGGAAGTGATGGTTGGACGACGTTTCTGATACAGCGTCTGATTTTTCTGGTGTCAAGGCAGCACCTTCCCTTGCACATCGCTGGAGGAACTCTTGCCTTTGCCCTGACCATGCCTTTCCCTTCCAGCAACGGAAGCCGCCTTTCTTGCCTCCTTCGCCCTTGGACTATACCTTGCCCTGGCCTTTACCTCCAAGAGCGCCAGTTGCTGCCACAAAAAGGCGCAGCCAATGTTGCCACAAAATCCCGACGTTCGATGTCCTTGACCTATCCCTTTGCCCCGGCTTCCTCTGTTGCTTCAGTCTGATCAGCTGGTGTCTGATACCAGTCATCGAATGCTTCTGCATGTTGGTCAGGCCATTCTCCCGCATCATGCCAATCTTGTCCCCCACTGTCGTCGTCAACCCCTCTCAAGCAGCACCGGGCTGTTCGCCGACTAGCCAGGGTCATAGCATGTTCGGGTTCATGCCAAACTCCTCCTGGCGTTGCTGTATAGGCTTGCCGTTCAGGAGTGTTGTTGTATAGTAGGTGTTGCCGTCCATGTTCTGAAGGCGTGTCATCCTCGGAACTAAGGGCGCGAGCCTCCTCAAAGTGAGACATGTCACCTTGCAAAAGCATGAAAAACATAACCTGCATGTTGTTGAGGAAGTTGTCTCTGAAGTGGAACGTCTTGGCAACATTCTTCAAGTTGCCTTCTGAAGTCAAAGAAAGCTTCAAGCGTTGGTGGATCGGAGATGGTCAGAATCTGCGGAGGGTTGACGAAGGGCATTGGTGAGGGCCCGGCCTGACTTTCAGAAGGAATACTGTGTTAAAGGGTGATGTGAAGGTTGGTTGGGCCCATCACTTCATCCACTGCCGGCCACACCAAGGCTCTGCCGCCTGAGGATCAGGAAGGCGAAGCTGAAGAGCTATTTGCTGAGTTCGTCCTTGAAGCCTTTCTGCAATCAAAGATCCAACTGCTTCAACTGGTCCTTCCAAGAGCTGGTACCAAGCCCGAAGCCGCTTGAGAGGACTGTCCGGCAAGTTTGGCGCCCAGCCAGGTGGAATGTCCCGTCGGAAGTCCTGAAGTGGAGTCCCTGACACCGATGCACCGAGACTCATTCTGAATCGTCGCCTCAGAGGTCTCAAAGCAAAGCAAGTGACCAGGAAGGGCTCAGTCTCAAGCAAGGAGAAGCGGGGTGAAGGTGGGGAGGTGCAGCCAGCGCCAAGCCAGTGAAGAAGAGCTGAAGCAAGTGCAAAAAAGCAGAGGTGAAAAAGAGATGAAAAAAAGTGCCACAACCGAAGCTATGGCAAGGCGTAAGTCGAGTTACCCATTAACCAAAAGGGCCTATTCAACAGTGTGGGGTCCCTGGAGCGCGAAGCTCCGCTACCAAGCTTGGTAGCAATGCGAAGTTTGATCTGGCAAACGTGCACCTGCAGTCGGGTGAAATTGAAATGCTGGCGTAACACAATGCTCAAATGTTCTTTTTAACATTGGTCAGACCTACATCAATGGTCAAATTCGATGGATTGCTTGGAATCGAAGCTCCATATTCGTCTGGACGAAACTGCACTCCACTTTTTAAGCTGATCCCTAGTCCCTAGTGTCCGTTTATCTGATGGGTCTTTGGGTATACCTTGGTTGAAAGGGTTGCCCACCTGGATTCTTGTTGGGAGACGCTTCTCCCCTCTAACGACTGAACCGTTCAGAGTGGATAATCGACGGTGAAGCCAGAAGAGCACCTCACAAGGTTCAGGATCAACATCACCACGTGCTCTGCCACCTTGGGAATCTCTTGTACGCGCTCGGGAGAAGAGATTAAGGATCGAATGGATGATTCAAACAATTGATGGGATTGGATGAAGTGATCGAAACATATCGAAACCAATGTTGTTCAAAGGTGCTTCATAATGACGTGACAGTATTGCAGGGTTCGACAGTTCATCTGCTTTTTCAAGATGAGAGAAATGAGCAATGATTGATTGCAATGAGGCAATGATCATTTTGATAAATCCAGATCGTGTGGGCCATGGGGCCATTGATTCCAGAATGATGTCTGTCTCTGTTTGGACACTACATGTCAATCATGTATTTCTGACACTAGTTTTGCTGTTCGCTCCCAGTATGCCCGAAATAAATCAGCATGATGATCCTTCTAGTTCATGGACACCTATCCCTCCGGCGAAAGGGATGATGTTCTTTGACACCCCAGCAGCTTCTCTACACTTGAGGATGAGGTTCAGGGACTATGGCTAGGTGACCGTGTTGTAGAGCCACGGCATCCAAGACTACGATGTGTCTCTGCTCAGAGCTGAAAGCCTGGTGCAACCTTGACCCTGCGGAGGGTCTAGGGACCGGAGCGGCATAAGAAGGGGAGGTATTGCCGGAGAACTTTTGGTGGTTTGAAACTGAAACACTCCGCGGGTTATCCGGAGAAAACCGCTTTCCTACACCCATCCACCATTCTCGATCAACTCTGGGTGTAGAACATACCTGAGGGCCATGGCCACGCAACAAGGGCGTTGCCTTGGCCACTTCTTCCGAAAATGACCTGTACGTCGTCTAGGGAATCTTCCACTTCGCATCACTTCGCAACCACTGCGACCCCCTGGGACCAATTAAACCTGTCCACGCCATCCCCTGTTGCATATCCGGGGATACAGCCGCTAGACTCTAGACAAGCCCCGAGAGAAAGCACGCTCATTGCACGCAAAGGAAAGTGATTTCGGCGCCAGGGCCGCCAGGGTGCAGAGATGGAGTTGCAGTAAGTCACCTCGGCCACTGTAATGTTTGCCTTGGCCGCCGCCTCCAGGTCGACGTGGTCGGAGCCAATGCCTGAAGGATCAGCACATGTCGACATTTTTGTAAACGCTGCAGGCCACTTGGGTCTCGGGGATGATTCAAATCGAGGTTTACACCGCTTTCTTCGAAAATTCGGAGAGCGACAAAGGCATCACAAGCTACAAGAGCTTCCTACAAGCGACCACCTGCTCCAAAGATGCTCCAAACAGCAAATACGACACCCAACCCCAGCAGCTCCAGCAGGACAGCTCTTGTGAACTTGTAGACAACTCTTTCACCATAAATTCTATGCTCTAGAAAGTCTAGCAACCAGCTTGGACCAGCTTACAAGCAACTGGCGACGGATGGCGCAACTTACTGTCCTTAAGAAGCAGTTCTGGCCACGACGCTTCGGCGCCCCTTGTTCGTTCGTTCCTTGAAGAGAGCACGACGGAGACCGCCCAGACCGCCCAGACCGCCTGCGGTGATGCACAGTTTCAGGTTCTTCGCTTTGGCAATGCGCTCCGTGCCTCGGGACGAAAGGCAAACAGGACAGGGCGGCCGACCCCGAATCCAATCCATGGTTTTTCATCACCATTGAGTCGTTTCAGTCGGACTGGGTACCCAACAGCAACCTCTTGCCCACGACGTGAGCGTATGGTTGGTACATGTTGGTACCGTGGGTATTTGTTTGAAAAGGAGGTGACTGCTTGGATTGCAACTGGCTCTTCTGTGGTTCCTTGTTCCAATCTTCCTGTGGTTTGCTAGAAGCCCACCCAGGCCATGGAACCGCCACTTCTGCGGACAGCCACTACCAAGAGAGCACACTTCAAGAGACGTTGCTTACTCAAAGGCTGACATGTGTTTATCCTGCAGACCTATACCTGGACACCTAAAAAGGGGCGGTGTTTGGAGCTCAAGCTTGGGGGAAAATCATGGACATCACGTATCAATTAGCATCTATTGCAGGTGTCCTGGTGGTTTCGTTCAGTTTTTTCCGCCCAGGTGCTCATGTAAGCCGGCCAGAAGGGTTGCGAAATCACGACATCGGCCGTCGGCAAGTGCTGTTCGAAGACCGAGTCAGGACCATCCTGGCATGCAGATGCACAACAGCCAATGTTGATTGGTGACACTAAAAGCCCTCCCACCTTGATGCAAAAAAGGAATTATACCAGCATAGACCCAAACCAATTTCAAAACGATTCGTTTGGACCAATGTTGGTCAAAAACTATTGCTTGATACGCCCTACCTTCCCCCAAAAGCAAACTGCTTCATCAATGATTCTTGTCGGCATCGACATCGCTATTTGTTCGGCCACAAGAGAAGACAAGAGCAGAGCAGGACAAGAGAGGACAAGAGGAGGACAAGACCCGGCCACAGAGTTCAGGGGCGCGGCCAGTCAGTGTGGCCAGCCCTTTTGTTTCTAAGATAGAACCCCAACAGTAAACTGTTTGGGGAAAAACCTTAAACATATCCGGTCCATTTGGAAGCGTTTGTTCATCTACAGCATTACGGCGGCACGTGATGTATGACACGTAACGTCTTTGAATGCAAGTCAGCAGCGATTTGGATTCAGGGTTTGGATGAGGTATGAGTAGCTGAGATTCTTTACATCGAAACCACTGCTACCCGCTAAGAAAACCAGCAAGTGCTTTGCCAAGCACTACCCAGCACTGACTACAAATCAGAGCCTATAAATTAATCCACTGGTTGCAGTGGAAATACACAAAATGTTTTGGCCAGGGCCGCGGGAACAGATTCAATCATATTCATGGATGGCCCAGCCAAGTGTCTATCAATGTCGTGTTTCCCCACGGGTCCAAAGACCGAGTAAAACCTGATCTTGAACACCTCATGACTCAGTAAGAGTCGTGTTTTTGTATGATCAACTAGCAAAATGAGACTGGCCTGTAGGGTGTCATCAGTTCGGTTCTCCAAACACCAAACTGTTGGTTCCAGCCCAATCGAAGCCCCAGAACCAATCGAAGCATTCCAGCCTTCGATGACGTTACCACGAAATCATGGCCTCATCGGGAGGGTTTCGGTGGTCTGTGGCGGCAGTGTTTGACACCCTAATTGGATGACGACCTCACGGGTTCAGAGGTTTTCAGGGGTCAGCAAGCGAATGCCAACCCGTACACTAGAAGGATAAACTCACATCGAAGTGGATGGCGCCACCGGTTTGTAGAGCCATCCAAAAGGCCAATGTTGAGTGTAACAGACTGACATGTGCTCGCCCAACTCGTTTGTGGCTCTCTGCTTTTCCCTTCTTTTTCCTTCCTTTCCTATCTTCCTTCTCCTCCGCTCCATTCCGACCCCTTCTTCAGTAAAACAAGTCCTTCCGTGCAAAGCAGGGAAGGGGCACCGTCTTCCATTGCGCCAGCAGTGGGGCCAAAATTCCCCACAACTGCACAACAAACGTGACACCGACTGGTCGACTGGGAAACGTTCCGACTGGTCGACTGGTGGAAGTTCCATTCCTCTGTCACCGTCGACCTGAACAACGACAGGGCACCGTGAAGGACCTGGAAAAACCCTGGAAATACGACCGCGGTCGTTTCTCCTCTCCACCCCACCGCGACCGTCCTGCACCATCCTATGCTTTTTGGGGAAAACACCCTCACCAGGTGCCACTGCTACCACCGCTCCCGCGAAAACGGCAGCTCGTCCTGCGACGAGCGCACGTCCAACCCGCGTGCCTTCCAGAAACTTGGCCAAGCCCAACTTTCCGGAGACCTCGCTCCATCGAGCGAAGAGGACGCGAAAACTCGGCACCAAAACGAAACGAGACACTGAGACATCGTTACTATAGCCATATGTCTTTCGACATCGTTCGACCCTTTACAGAAAGAGACCCTGAAGCCAGAAAGCCAGAAAGTTCGTCCTTGCTAGTGAATGGCCACGCTCAAGTATGTGTCTTCGCAGAAAAATATGCTGAGCGCCATTAGATGTGACATCAAGGATCACAGAAAGTCACGGTTTGATTGTCCGATGTCTTGTGATACATCAACACTTAGCAATCCAGAACTGCCCAGGCATTTGCCTTTCACAGCCTGGAGAATGTGGGTCCGATGTTACAGTCATGATTGATGTTTGTTGCGGAACTGGGGATAAGTGACAGGACAGTTATAAAAATCAAAAATACCTGAACTTCCTGGATGTTGTTTTCAGAGGTTTCTGGAATCTTGAAAGATGCTGTTTTCATTATGTAGCGTGTTCTTTTGTTTATCGGCTGACGAGTTGTGAGGTCATTGGGCAATATGGGACTTATTTCCTTGGCCAAAGCAGCAAAATGATGCCCATGAGAACCTCTGGGTGTGTCATGTTGGGATTTGTGAAAACCACAGTAAATACAAGTGATCCATCATTACAAGCATTGTGCTCAGAAGGGGTGGCCAAGTGGATTAGAGCAGCTTCATCCTCGATCAGTCATTCAATTCCATCCAATGTGCACCTCAATCAATTGCCAGCTTGTTGGAACTCCCAAAAACTAAGAGACAAACCTCTGACAAAAAAGCCTGCGTGCAAACTGTGCAGAACTCATCTCCCTTCACAGGTGTCTCTTTCCGCTTGGCTTTCCTCGAAAAAACAAATTCGTCCCAAGGGCAGACCCTAGGAGCTCTCCAGGCACAAAGTCCACCTTGGAGGGTGTCGGTGTCGTCTGGCCGTCCGGATAGCGGCTGAGATGTGGCAGCTCGCTCCGTGCAGTGGGCGTGCTTGTAGAGCGCTGGGGGTCATCGTAGAGCACGCCTGGTCGCGTGTCCCCGACAACAACGGGAAACACGGGAAAATTGGCGTGGAATTTTCGCACAAGGATCCTAATGTCGAATGTTCAATGCCGGTTTTGTGGGGCAACAAGCTGGGGGATGTCCGGTTGGGATCCGAAATGTCCTCCAAACCTCCAAAGGAACCATTTTCAAAGTTCCAGTCAAGTGACACAGCACTTTCACCATTGTGAAACCTGCTACGTCCGGTGAACTTCGCACGGGAGGCTGAAGAAATGCAGCGGAAGGCTTGAACAATGCCGAAATGCCGAAACAGGACAAATGCACATGTTTAAACCCCTGCTCTAAATGTTACCTTGGTTGGAAATAATTGCTTCAGGTCTGAAATTTAAAGCTTGTGCTAGGTTGGAATGGCATGTTTTTTTCCCTGCTCTAAACTGGCATCGGTGGCCCACCAAACGGCTC